GAGGACTATGAGGAATGGTTAAGAACTGAGGACTTCACAGTCGCCAGGAGGCAGACTGTGAAGCTCCAAAGCTCCAAGGAGGGTGCACAGGAAAGGGAAGGGAGCTCATGAGCTCATTGCACATCACACAAACATAAGGGATAAGGAGACCAAACACTCTTCAGAGTGTTTGGGTGTAGCCAGATGCCATCCAAAGCTCTGTGCACTGGCACTCATGGAGATGCTCAAATTCTCTCAGGATTGTCTTTTTTTTTTCCACACAGCTCTTAGAAGCCTGGCTCCCAGGGGGTTGATGACAACTGGCATCCACACCGCTGACAGGGGACTGCAAAGCTAGAAAAATTAGATTGCAACACCACACAAAGAAGGGCATCTTGGGGCATTTAGTGTAGGAATGAACAGCTGGGACCACATGCAACCCAGGATTATAAGTGCCTCTAGGTCATCAGCAAAGAACTGTCATTCTATTTAGAGCACTTGGTCTAGGGGATAAGAAAATTCATCATACAATTTAGACTGAGTCTTTAAAGTAATTGTGCATTGTGTTTTTTAACGTGGGTGAAAGGGCACATTTGCATTTTCTGGAAAATTCAGTCGCGTGACCCACTCATTTCTTAATGCTAGATAAAGTAAGGTTTTCCAATAGTCCTGGGCTCCCTTGTGCTCCCTATCAGCCAGAGCCCTCCCCCCTCACATGCTCCTTGACCCTTCCCTCCATTCACACCCATACACACACCAACACCCAAACGTCCCTTCCTTGTGGGGCTGGGGAGGAGGGTAGGATAGAGTGGCAATACCTGTATCCGGAAGGTCAGGATCTGGTTCCAGATTGGGTTCTCGGTTTGGGTCTGCACTCGTGTCTTGAGCTGGGAACATCCCACAGGGGTGTCAGTGCCAGCCTGCCCCCTCCTCCGTCCACTGGCCTCACTTTCCATCCCTTCTGGCCCAGCGCACAGATGGAGCACAAGGTTGATCTCTGGTCTAAAGACACTTGGACAACGTCTCGTCAGCTACAACTTCAGTCCTTTGTGCACACGCCCGGGTCCAGATTCCTAATATTTATCTTTAAATAAGCTTTCAATAGACTGAATCTTTAAGTAGATATAGGGCTCTAACTTTATCACATGAGTGCTTACACATAGATTTTGTTAGATAAACTCTAAGATCCCACCAGAAAAATGAGCAGAAACAATGCTGTGGCAGTGGTACACATGGCACCCACTTCTCGAAGGTTCACTTGACTTCATTTATAAATCTACTTTTATTCTAAGTGATTGTGCTGGTGAAATCAGAGGTTCATTGGACTGCTTAAACTTTTTCATACACACTCAGAAAAACACAAGAATATTAAAATTTTTGAAAAATGTGTGCCATCTACCACCCAAGATCATCTCACCTAGACCTGTGGTACAAACCACACTTGGTATGGTGGCTTTAAGATATGTCTCCTGATCTTTTTGTCTCCTCCCTTCAGAATTGGAAACTATCCCTCCTCCCCTGTGTATGGGCTGGATTTAATGACTTCTCATAGGTAGAATATGGTGGGAATGATGGTGCATAAACTCTGAGACAAGCCTATTTAACTTTAATGTTTTTTTGCACATAACATTCATCAGCACACTTTGGAAAATGTTAGTCTATTCCTAGAGATTCATGGAATATCAGCAACTCTTTTGCCCGGAACTTTCAATTTATAGATGAAGAAACTGAGGCCCAGAGGAGACGGTGGCAGTTTCAATGATGGTCATTTACAGGCATGTTGTTTCATTCACTCATTCACTCATCAGGCACTGTATCTTTGGTTTTCAGGCAGTATCTTATCCACGGGAGGCACCAGGCAGAGCTCTGGTAGACAGGGTGGCTAAGCCATGGCCTCCACACTCACAGAGTTCCTTGTCCAGTGGGATCACATCATCCATTAATAGAAGGGCTGGAATATGATTCCTGGGATTCTGCCCACTACTTTTTTCCTTAGGTGGTCATTTCTCTAAGCCTCACACCCTTTCTACACTTACCTTTTCCCCAATTAGTTCCACCTCCAGTGCAGGACTCACTACATGGTGTTTCTCTGCAAACAAGAAGTTAAAAGATTTCTGAGATAGCAGCATTTTTTTTTTTTTTTTGAAGAGGAGGAGGAAATGGAAAGGTGAAAACAACTGAAAACCCTCCCCCATAATGTAATCTGATGGCCCTGGGCAGAACTCTCTCATTTCCACTTTGTCTGGATGTACTGTTCTGTGCCACAGCCCATAACGGCAGCAGGGGTGGGGGTTGGCACAGGGAACCAACACAGGCTGGGCCATATGGCCCTTTCAAAGGGCATCCACGGGCCTCCATAAAACAACTCTTGAGAGATTTCAGTTTTGCACTCTCCTTCCACCTGAATCTTAGGTTAGTGTTCATAGGAAACGGGGAAGCCCCCCCGAGGAGCAGGATGCCACTGTGTGGGGAACCTCAGGGCTGCCCCCTGCCCCCCGCCCCTGACTCTCACTGAGGTGCAGGTCCTCGGCACAGTAGACGAAGAACTGTAAGTAGGCCATGTCGATGGGGACCAGCATTGACTTGAAGATCTGAATATTGGTGCCATCGTAGTCCAGCTTTTGATCTACCTGCAGAGACCAGAGAGCTAACTGGATCAGAGTCATGAAGGGGAGGCGTGGCCAAGGCCACGGCAGGGGCGGGCAACCCTAAAGTGACACAATGGACAAATGAAAACTTGTGAAGACCAATGGCCACTTGGAGGTCTCCAGGGTACCCCACGGGAGCAGCCAGGCTAGGAAATGTTACTGGGATAAGGGTGGGGCGACCTCACCAGGGCCTGGTCTCCCACACCAAGGGCACAGATGGTGACTTTCAGGTAGCCTCTCACACCCTTGCTGGGTTCATCTGGCTGGCAGAGGCCTAACCATTTCCTCATGAGTGTGTGACCTGGAGAGGCAGAGGGCCCGTGGGAGACCAGCTCCAGTCTCCATCCTTCTCCCCTGAAGCCAGTGTTTGTGTGGGAGAGAGGTGTGGAAATGTGTCTCATGTTCCGGTCCTGTCAGTAGTAGGACAATGGCAGCAACTCCTACCAGTAAGCTGAGAGAGGGTACTCACCAGGCTGTCAGCTATTGCCGTGAGGAGGTAAGAGGCCCTATCCCCCATCCTGGGATCCTGCAGCTGTTACTATCCTAGGCTGAGACAGGCGAGCATTTTCTCCAACCCTAAGTCCCGTCCCGACCTCAGCCTGCTATGAATGTCATGGCCAGGTCACAGAGGAAACCTCTACTCAAACTTTAATTCCCCAGCATTGGCCTCAAAAATAGAAATTCAACCCAAGGCTACAATAGAAGTTTAGCATTTGACCCAAAGGGATGCCTTGAGTTTTGCAGAAAAAGATGCTGTTCTTATAAAACAAGATAAAATATCATAAATTACAGTAAACTATTATCAAAAACAAAATAATTCACACCTTTGAGTACTCTCTCCCTATGTGTTGAAACATATGGGGATTTTTTGATGTTTTGACACCTGGTCTTGTTTTTCTTAGAAGACACACGTTTGCAACAACTGTTACCTACCTGGAGAATGGTAGATAAAACCAATATCTGTCTGAAAAGACAAGGGTGGAATAAAGGTTAGTTAGGGCCACCAGCCCAAGTCTTACAGCTAGTAAATGAGGAGGCCTGGATTAAAAGGATCCTTAACCACGAGGTAGCACTGCCTGGCCAACACAGCCTGGATCTCTGGGTGGTAGGTCGAGGGAGGAGTTGACAGAGAGAAGCTGGATTTTCCCTTGTCCCGGGGCAAGGTTTCTGACTGAGGCCGGTGGGATGTGGTGCAGGATTGAAGTGGTGTGGGACAAGGTGCCACAGAACACTCAGGCCACCCTTGTAATTCACATCCAAAGGGGCCACAGAGCAGTCCCCAAATCCTGCATATTAGGCCTGCTTTAAAACTCGGGTACCCCCTTGAGTTAGGTAGGCAAAGTTTTCTTAGATATAACAATGAAAGTACCACCAATAAAAAGAAAAATCTGATGAATTGGACTTCATTGAAATGTAAAACATCCACACTTTGAAAAACACTATTAAGAAAATGAAAGAACAAGTCATATATGGGAGAAAATGTTTCCAAATCATGTATCTGATAAAGGACTTGTATCTAGAATATAAGAAATTTGCAAAACTCAACAGTAAGAAAACAACGCAATGAAAATAAGTGAAAAATTTGAACTCACACTTTGAACAGACAAAGAAGATATAGAAATGACAAGCACATGAAAAGATGCTCGATATCATTAGTTATCAGGGAAATGTAAATTAAAATCACAGTGAGATACCACTACACATAATTAGAATGGCTGAAATAAAAAAAAAAGATGGATTATATCAAGTGTTGATGAGAATGTGGAGCAACTGGAACTCTAAGGCACCACTAGTGGGAATATAAAATGGTAAAACCTGTTTAGAATTTTGGGAGGAAAAACGATTAGGAATTTTCTTTAAAAGTTAAACATATACCTACCAGATGAGTTAGCAATCCACTTCCCCATATCTACTCAAGAGAAATTAAAACATGTGCCCACACTAAGATTTATACACCAATGTTATGGCAGCTTTATTATAATAGCCCCCACATATCACCAATCTAAATGTCCATCGACAGGTGACTGGATGATCACAGACGGTGGCATGTCCACACAATAGAATACTACTCAGCCAGCAATAAAAAGGAATGAACTATTGATACATCCAACATGGATGAATTTCAAAATAATTATGCTGAGGGAAAGCAGCCAAACCAAAAAGTCCATTTATATAAAATTCTAGAAAATGCAAAGCAACCTATAGTTACAGAATGCAGACCAGTGGTCGCCTGGGAATGGGAGGGAGCAGAATGGGGATGAGAGGGAAGGATTACCAAGGTTCACAAGGAAACTTTGTAGAGTGATAGATGTGTAGCTTCTCTTGATTGTGATGGTGGTTTAACGGGTGTGCACATATTTTTAAGTATATCAAATTATATATTTTAAATATGTGCAATTCACTTAATGTCAATTGTACCTCAATAAAGCTGGAAGAAAACAAAACTCAGTCACCCCTAACATAGTAGTAAATCTAGGCAGTTATCATCAGTAGCTGTTAACAACATAGAGAAAGACCGGCCTTCATGCCTTCATAAAAAAAAATTGCCAAATATTGAGCCAAGACTGGTGGAGCCTCTGGATGGAAATACCTGGGCAGAGGGACCAGTGATGTCATTCCCTGGAGATGCAATCAGCAAGATCCAGAATGGGAGAAAACTCTGTAGGACAAATTATCCAGTTTCTTGAACAGATAAATTACAAGGGAAAAAAAGGGGGCAGAACCAACAAAATAAGAGAGATCTGAGAATACATTTTAACCAACTGTAAGTTATGAGTGCATGTAGCTGGTTTGGATCCTGATTTGAACAAAGTATAAAAGGAATTCATAAGACAATTAGGGAAATTTGAACAATGACTAGATAGTTAATGTTATCCTGGAATCATAAATGTTTTTAAATGTGATAATTGTATTTGATTACACTTAATAAAATCTTTATATTTTAGAAATGCATACTGACATTTTTAAAAATAAAATATCATGTCCGAGATTTGATTCAAAAGTGGGGAAGGGAAGTGGGCTGGGTATAGACAAAATCTGATTGGCAATGTATTGGTGAAGCCAAGTGATGAGGATCTGGGAATCCATACTACTTTCTCTACTTTTGTGTATGTTTGAAATTTTTCCAAAAAGTATGTTTTTTAAAGCTCAGATTTTCTCTGCCCTCTGTAATTTACTCATTGGTTCATATCATTAACCATTGTCTGAAAACTGTGCAGTGGCCTTTGTCGGAAGCAAAGGGTTGAGGTTTTGACCTCAACCCTGGCATCTACCTTCCGTGGATCCTTAGTTTCTAAGTCTGCACTGCTGCTGAGGGTGAAGTGGGGGAGGGGCTGGTCCTGACTCTTCATGTGCTTGTTACAAGTAGTGATAAAGAAACCTGGCAACCCTTCCTTTGCCTGATCTTCCTGGATTCGGGGAGTCTTCACGTGGCTCCTCATGCCTGTAAACTTTCCTCATCTGTGTCTTTTCCCAAAGTGAACTTTTCCCTCCGTCCTCACAGACAGTGATCTTTCTCTGGATTTCTCTATCAGGTCAGCCTGTTTGAATGCTCCGCTACTATTTCCTGGAAACAGGGGTTTGACCTGTGTCCATCGTATTACAAGTGTGGCGACTTCAACAAGGCACCCAGCATTTTCATAAGTGTTACACAATGACTGTGTGGTTGAGGAAAGTATTACCCATTTTACAGATGAAGAAGTAGAAGCTCAGAATAACTTGTCTATGTCACCCGGTTGGTAGGTGGACCCAACTCTGGATCTTTCTGCATGCACATCCAAGTCCTTTCCCCTGGTCTGTGCATGAGGCCCAGGACGGGTCCCTAACCGGTTCCCCAAACCGGCTCCCTTCCACAGTGCTCACTTGGAATCTCCCGATCTCTGCATTGAATCTCATCACTGAGGAATTCATCACCTGCAGGGCGTTCCAGAAAGAGCTTGGTGACTTCTTTATTCAGTTATTCGAAGGCCTGGTTCCCCCCGCCCCCAAGGGAGGAACCGGAAGAGCCCCTTCAGATTCTAACGGGGTTGACGTCACACTTCCTAATGGCTGACACTTCCACATGGGAACTCTGTGAGGTTTAGGTTTTCAGTTCCATTTTCCTGATGAGGAAATTGATCACAAAGGCCAATAACTCGATCACCACAAAGGTCAACACAAAGGCAAGTGCACCCGGCTCTCTCCCTGCCACTGTACTGGCTGTTTCCTACGGGCCTGGGTCCCCACAAACATGGAAACTGTTTGAGGGACGGCCTCCTCGCTCTCTTCAGCCCTGTGCTGGGACATAGGGGGCATGTGATAAACACGTTTGCCACTGTTATGGGGCTCCCTCTGGCTGGGGAATAGAATGTGCCGTGTTGAAGGGACATTTGAGGGTCCCTTGGGTGGCATGAGAGTCAGTCCCAGCACATGGGAAGGGGATTCTTTGTTTACCTTGGTGCCCAGCTCAGAGCCTAGCAATTGGCATTCCATGTTTGTTGAATGAATAAATGAAAGAATGAATGAATGAGGGTCTGGGCTGCCCAGGAGGGAGGAAGGTGATAGAGGTGCTGCCTTGGGGTCAGAAAGACCATCTGAAGTGAGTGGCTCCAAGGATGGGGCTGGGGGCTAAAGTGCTTCTCAGAGTCGAGGTGGGACGAGGGAAGACCCGTCTCATCTGCCTCGTACCTGGATTAAGATGATCTCATCGAAGAACTTTGCAGGAACCTCATGGAAATTCTGGAAGAAGATCTGAAGGAGAGGATAGGGTGGAAAAGTTTCGTCCACCACTTTACCAGAGACTTGCTAAGCCTGAAGGCTCAGAGTAGTTGCCTTTCTTTGTCATTTACCCATTTCAATAGCTTTTGGTGCATCCCACCCTCATGCTCTTCCTCCTGCAGCAGAGGCCTGCCAGGCCTTGGAGGGTTTTCTGAGCAGACAAACGCCAGGGGTAGCGGTCCCCCCCTGCCCCCAGTTAGCTGCCATGGGATGGAAACTGGAGCCTCCGTCTCCTTCTAGATCGCCCTGCTGGACCACTCCACCCGACTTCCTGCTGCAGCCAGAATTTCCCCTCCCAAATGCAAGCCTGGCCCCATCACTCTCTTGCTTCAGTCCCTCCAAGTCTCCCAAGAGCCACCCATGATGGGACGTGCATCGTGCAGGCTCACCTCCAGCCACTCCCCTCCAGCCACAGCCATGTCTTTCAACAATGCCCACACTATTCTGCCTGTGTTCCCAGAGCCAGGCACAGCCCTCCATATGTGCTCAGTAAATGTTTGCTCAACCAATGAAAACACCCTTGTTCAGGACCAAGTTGGCCACTGCCGACAGGAAATGAATGTGCAGCTCGATTGGTCCTCTTGGCCAAAGTGTCCCATTCGTCCCAGAAAGGTGCAGGCAGCCCACCTCGTTGAAGAAAGGGTTGTTCCCCATCTTGATCCGCGTCTGGTATTGCTGGCCTCCGATGACCACCTTCACCACTGGCTTCAGGTTGTTGCCCATGAGCTGGCGGGCTTCAAACACCTTTACTCGGACCTACCGGGGAGAAAACAGGGCCCTGACGTTGGGGCCCTGGACTCCCCGTCTCCCTCAGGGACTCCTCTTTAAAATAGCCAAACGTGTCAAGAATCATCTGCTACAGGTGGAAGGGGAGCCACAGGGAGAGGCCTGCAGGAGCTGGATCCACTAGCCTGGGCACAAGCCCAGAGTTGGCCTTGGCTCTTTCTGTTTCCTTCTGGAACCTGTCCTCTCCACTGCTCTGCCCTTTTACCTTGTGTGGACTCAGTTTCTCTTGTCAACTGGTACAGGCTTGTTACAAAATTAAAAAAATACAGTGTACTGTCTCTCAGATTGTTGGTTTGTATTTTTGTCTGTGATCTTTTTAAAGAATCGAAAATTCTAAAGTTCCACGCAGTTGATTCTGTGATCTGTGGTCTGGTCACGATTTGTGATTTCTTCTGCTGCTTTTTATGTACGATAAAGGGACTGTGACATCTGAGCCTGGAATTAGAAGACAGGAGGCAGAAGAGCTACTTGGAGACATTTAAGTCCCAGGCTGGCTGAGGCTGGGAGAGAAGGAACAGGCAATAGCAGTGGCGAGCAGGGCACAGTCGTGAGAGCTTGTTGTCTGACTGTGGGTAGTAAACAGCATACAGTGCTCCAGCCTACACCGTGAGTCCAGCCACTCTCCATGAGGCCTCTTGCGTCTCCATCAAGTCCAGGTCCCTTCCAGGACTGACACTTATGTGGCTACCTGACCATCAGAGGCAAGACTGGGCCAAACCAGGCTAACAGCCCTCATGCCAGCATTTTGTCCTAACCACTAGCACATACGGAGGGAAGTGACATGGACTAGCTGACCTTCGTGGTAAACTGGCCTGGTGAAAAGGGATGGGGCCAACAGGGAGAGGGAAGGTGTTCCAAAGGCAGCATGTGCAAAGGCCTTGGGGCTAGAGAGAGAACGGGGACTTTGAATTGCTTGAGATGCTAGTGCAGGGTGGGAAGGAGCAGGGACAAGAGAGAGTGTTGGCTTGGAGGGGCAGGCTTGGGGTATCAAGGTCTTGGGAAGCTATTGTAAGGAGTTTGGGTTTTGTCCTGAGGACATCGGGATATCCTCATTTTTAAGGACATTTTAAAGCAGGTGAACGGCATGATGAGAATGACATCTTTGAAGAATGGACAGGGGAGAGCTGGAGGCCAGGAGTTCAGGAAGACAGGGTGCTTCAGAGAAGCGATGATAGTGGCTTGGGCCAAGGATTGGAAGTGGTGATGCGGAAGTGGGTGCAGTCGGGTGATAATAGGAGTTGTCTTGGCCAGTGATGATGCAGGAGTACAGTGAGAAAGAGTGGCGGTCGAGGATGACTCTCAGCCTCCCAAGCAACTGGCAGGCTAGGGCAGGCCAAACCATGGCAGAAGTGTTAGGTCACAGGCTAGAGACTGGAGGACAGTGGGGGTTCTAGGACTCATGGTGGAACCATGGAGCTTCCCAAAGATCCTCTCGAATTCTTGTCAGTGTGTCCCATACAACTAATGTCACTTTGTTTGTGGCCAGCCTTGTGTGTCGACAATCCCCTGGACTCCTGAAGGGCAGGGGCCAGGCCAGTGCCTGCTAGGGCACAGCCACTAGGACTTCCTATTGCCCCCCTGCCACATGCAGAAGTCCCCCAGAGTGGCCCTGGAGAGGCTGGGCTGTGGTGAGGGCCTGAGGACCTGTAGCCAGTCAGATGCTCTGACGGAAAGAACCTGGGAACACAGCGAGGGTGGCAAGCAGATCACGTGGGCTTCCCATCTCAAAAGTCCTCACCTGGAAGTGCTGAGGCTTTGAGGATAGCTCCTTCTGCACAGCATTGCTGGTGACCATCAGCTTCTGCCTGGCCCCCTCTCGTGCAGTTACGCCTAGGTAGTCTTCATCCCCTGGGTGAGCGGTCACAGGTGGGGCTCAGGATGTTTTGAGGCATTTTCCCCATTTAATCATTCTATCCCCACCGACCAGCTCCTGAATGAAAATATGGCCATGTCCTGAGGGGGGCGCATGTCCTCCTGAGTCTCCCATGGGCCCCCTCCTGCCCTCAGCAGCCCCAGGTCCCACTCTCCACACATGAGGGCTCTTGGAAATGTCCATTTTACCTCATCCGCAGCCAACTGGAGGCTGGGTTTTATGTCTAGAAATGACGAATGGACATATTGGGGTGACAGATGGCCTCAGATAAGTGTCTGGAGATCTGGCCTCTAGACCTTAACCGGGTCACAACCCTTCTGCAGGCCTCAAGGGGTGGGTCCCGAAGGTCCCAAAGAGGCCATCCAGCTATGTGGGGGGAAAGGTAGGGCTAAGCTCCATGGAAGGACATACCTATCTTCTCAATATCCCGGTTGCTCACACGAGACACCTGTAACGTGACAGTGCACTGCAAGGCAAAGGCAGGGGAACTGTAAGCTAGACAGTGCAATCCTTGGCTAAGTCATAGCACCGGAACCCAGCCCAGCCTGGCGGGTTCACACCCAATCCTCCTGGGTAGAGGGATGCTGGCCATCGTGCAAGGCCACACCATGGGGGCCTGTGGACTCTGGGGTGCGGGAAGTTGTTATAAACTGATGGTGAGAGAGCACTGGGTTATAGTGGAGAGAATTTGAAAATTAGAGGAGCCACATGGCAGTGGTGGTGACAGAAGAGGATGCAGGAGGGTGGGGAGGAGAGGGCGAGGTGACTTCGGACCAATCTAGAGCCACTGATGCTAACAGCTCTTCTCCTAGCCCAGCACCTCATGACCTCATGTGTGGACTCCTGCAAACGCCTTGTAACTGACCTCCTGCCTCCCGTGTGCTCACTACCCATCCATCCTCCAGACTATTGCTAGGGCCGCCCCCCAAATACTCCCAAAGTCCCATCAACAATCAGAGTAAAGTCGCAACTCAGCAGCATAAACCCCAAGGTTCTTCACCTCTGGCCCTTGGTCCCAGTCTCAGCTCGCCTACTCCCTTCGCTCACTCCTCTGTCCCCATATACCAGCAGTGTGGGCAGCCCACCCACAGTCTTTGAGCATACAGTGCCACCTTCACGCATGCACCTTATACACCTGCAAGGACGGTCTTCCTTTCCTGTCCTTTGGACAAACTCATGCCCTCATTAAGACGTGTCTGAGAAACTTAACAGACAAACAGACAATGGCCACTCCATTGGCCAGATCATGTATAAAATCAGAACCTGAGCCATGAACTGCAGCACTCAGCCCAGGAAACTGGACTTCTAGAAAGTCAGACCACTAGCTCTAGCAACAACCCAGGAAGCCATACAATAATAACCAGCCCCAAACAGCCAGGACTGGATTAATAACTGACAGCTTCCCTAATTTCTATCCCCACTTCTAGCTGAGGACCAATCAGAGAAAGCCAAATGTGTACCCTGCCTAGCCAATCATGCAGAATGCTCGGCTTCTAGTTAGCTCCCTCCAGATCCCTGATGCCAAGAGCTGCCAATCAAGGCACACCTGGGCCTTCCCTTTTTCCACTATGAACCTTTCCCTCTTCTGCACCTGCCTTTGAGTTTCTGCCAAAACCAAATGACAATGGCTGCCTCCCTCACTACAGAAAGCTCTGAATGAATAGCCTTTGCTTATTCTCATCTGGTTGGTCTTTCAGATGTCTTAATCACCTCCTCCATAAAACCTTTCATCTCCCAAGCGGAATTATTCATTCATTCTCTCTCGATCTCAGTGACCTAGCTCTCCTCACCCTGGGACACGTGCTGGAGCACTTGTCACTGTGAGTGGTGCCTGCTCCAATATACAGTGGGTTTCATTCCATATCGTACCCCAGGCCTAGCGCAGTCACCAACACCCAGGATGATAAACTAAATAATCTATATGGGTGGGTAGGCAGCCGGTTGTGGAAGTCAAAGAGATGATGGCAGTGTGACAGGACCCCCCAGAGCAGGAAGCGCTCTCTGGGTGAGGGCACTAGGCTTCGGCTGCAGCAGAGTGGCCCAGCTTTTCTGGTTGTCCCCACCCCTTCAGCCCCTCTCCCTGGGACCTGACTCACGTCTGTGGGCATCATGGAATGGTTGAGTAAGTTCAGATCCTTCACGAAAAGGACTTTTGTCGGCTTTTTCACCAAGGGCTTGAGAGGTACTGTGGCCAGGCCAAGGAACCTGAAGAGATGAAGAGCAAGTGTGAGAGCCTGAGCCAGGGGAAGGGGTGTCCTTCTTTCTCAGGCAGGACTTTATCTAGAGGTGGTATTTGTCTCCCGGAGGCTGTGCTGTCCATGAGAGGCTGTAGGAAGAACGCAGTGATGGGGAGCATCCACTAGAGGGCGCCAGGCTCTTGGGACTCTGGGAATTAGCTTTGGGGCGCCCTGGCCTGTGGGCACCCCAGTTACTGGTTCTGCTCTGCCCAGCCCCTTGCCAGAAGCTCTGCTTCCACAGCTTTCTGAATGGGAACTGTGCCAAGTAACAGCTGATTGGACCAGGAGGGCGGACACCTGACCAAATCTGGGCCAATCAGATTCCGAGTTTAGTTAATCTGCACTCCTATCCTGGATGCCCTTCCCAAATCCTCCCCCTCCCCCACACTTTTTTTGCGGCAGCAACGGTTGGCTAGAGTGGCTCTGGTGCTTGCATGGCAGGTATGGATTAGAGTCACGCTCCTCCTGCCTATCTGTCTCACCTTTCTTTCTTAATTGAGCCCAAGTCCTGAAGGATGATTTGCAGGAAAGAGTCCTTCCGAAGGGGGCGGTTCCAGAGATGCCAGATTAAGGTCTGTGGGAGGCACAGAGAGGTCAGCATCCCTCCTCTACCCTCCTCTTCCCAACCTTCTAGAGAACAAGGAAAGATGCAGACAACGAGCTGGCACTGTTTCCCTCTGCCTGAGGAACCTCCCTCAGGTCTAGTTCCCTCAGAGGATGGTGTTTCCTACCTTCTGCCAGGTGCTGGCATCCTACCTGGGCCCCCACAGCTTGAACATTAGTATCACGGGCATGTGAAGCGATTTAGGAACCAAGGGGGAAGGGGGCACATGGATGGATGGATGGAAGGTGAGAGGGTATCCTATAGATGGAGACTTGTGTCTGCTTCAGGTTTCTGGGACATCAGAATGACCGGATTGGACAAGATGGGCCACACCCAGAGTCGAGGAGGAGGACCAGGGCAGCAACCAATATGGCTGCTGCAGCCCTCGGGCCTTCTCGGCCTCGTGGGCTCAGAGGCTACTCCCAAGCCAGGATGACCCAGCTTTGGAAAAAACTTGTGAGGCTCCCTGTCCTCTCCTAGACTTCTGAGCATGGCCTGACCCACCCTCACTATTGGGGTGTCATTGCCTATTCTGGGCTTGTCCCGGCGCATCTTACCTCGTTCCATGTGGGGTTATTTCCTTCCACCTCATGAGTTTTCTTCTTGATATCTGCAAAGACACCAAGGGGCTGGCATTGGTGGTGGAAAATATTTCAAAGTCTATGTTCAAATGCGATAAAGAGAGGTGGGACAGTCTAAGAATAAACTGCAAGTCTACAGAAGCAGCCATGATATGGCATCGATTTTTATTTCCTCTGGAAGTTTCAAAATTTCTCATTTTTTGTAAGAGTAACATCAACCCACTTGTCAGTTCCCAACCATCTTGCAGCTAGGTGGGGCCATGTGACTCATGCTGGCAAAATGGGCATGGGAGTGACATTCGCCACTGCAAGGCCTGGCTTTTAAAATCTCCTATGAGATTCTCCATTCCCCTTCTCCCCACTCCCTATGTCCACCCTCATGATCTGCTGGTAGGGTGGTACCAGGGAGACTTTGCAGCCACAAGCAGGAGGCGGGTCTCTAAACCACTCAGGAGCGCTGCCTGACCAGCACCATCCACACAGGGCTTGGTGTGAGCAAGAGGTAAAGTTTTACTGTGTTCTGGCACTGGATTTTAAGGGTTTATTATTCTCAGAGCAAAGCCTAGTGTACTCAAAGACATCCCAAAACATCTGTAATGGCTCAATAGCTCTTCCTTCACGAGAAACCTCTCCTCCAGAAATATCCTTAACAAATAACAGTCTGTAGCCCTGCAAAGAACCTCTATAGTTAGAGATGAGAGAGAGAGAGAGAGAGAGAGAGAGAGAGAGAGAGAGAGAGATAGAGCGCGCGAGAGAGCGCCTGTTAGCTATCAGGAAGGGGTGCAGGGTAGTGGATGGTATATGGGGAAAGAGGGGCTGAGAAGGACAGGTGAGAAAGAAATAAAAAATATCAAACACTTGATTATGAGAATTTATAGGTAAATCTGTGGGTCAACCCAGGATTCTGGGTTTTAGACATCTTGGTAAGAGATATTTCTAGGAGAAGAAAGATGATGCCCATGAGGTGGTGAGGATGATAGCTGGGAATCATGGGGAGGAGATGCAAGGCTGTTCCCTGGCTTACAGTGACACCAGTAAGGACCTCCTGGAGACTCACCACACCTCTTTAAACCTACAAACTGGGGACATAAACATACGTCACCCTGTGGGCCTGTAGTCCCAACGTTCAATCTCTGAGTGTTGTCATGTTCAGAAAGCACAGTTTCACAGACTAGGAAAATAATGAAAGGAATCTCATCCTTGATTTGCTTCTCTTATAGAAACTTATCCTGATTTTCTCACTCCCCACATGTCCAAGAAAAACTCATTTGCCTATAGCCACCTGCCCAGACTCTCTGCCAACAGACGGTTCATTTTTCTTTCCCCTCTTTAAAAAACTCATTTTGTAGATATACTCAATCTCTTTCATTCTCTCTCACAAACCCTCTCACTCTCTCCCTCCCTGCCTTTCTTAGACTTTTTTCCTTATCTATAAAAAAATGGAGACAATAAAACTTGTCTCGTTTGCCTCCTGGAATTGTTGCAAGAAGCAAAAATCATTATATTTATGAAAAATATTTTGTGTTGATTGTAAAAGTAATTAATATGCTTGGGCAATTACTAACAGTTGTACAAAGAGCTGGACCTATATTATCTTTTTGATTCCTCACACCAATCCTATGAAGCGGGCATTTTTTTTTCTTTGAACCTGAGTCCTTGATGCAACCTGCTTCATAGAAGAAGCTTGAGATTAATAATTTGAGAAGAGTATTCATCTTCTCTTTTTTCCCATAGCCATGCCCTGGAAAAAAAGCGAGGGGGAGATGTCATAATAAGAAAAAGAAGAGCACTAGAGATGATCAGTTTTGAAGAACTCCAAGTGTCACCTCAGCTTTCTGTCACACAAGGGCATCTTCCACAGAGCAGGGCACCAGTAGCCCTATTTTTTCACTGAACTCATGCCGTTTCTTGAGGCACCTCTCCCCATTCAGGAGCCTGGTGCTCACCTCTGAAGTAGACGGACACATAGGATTTGGGTGCGGGGCTGAGGGGCGGGTTAATCCTGGCTGACTCCACCACAAGCCGCAGCATGGCGTCGACCTTCTTCTCTCAGTCCCCCTCTGTAAGAAGTTTCCTTCTTGGAGCGCCTGGGTCCAACGCTTCTCCCAGGGCTCCTGGGGCCAGTGGAGCCCTGGATCTGTTGCTTAGCAATAGTGGTGATGTCACAAAGGCAGGCGTTCCAGGTTCTGGGGAGGAATCAAGGGGACTGAGAGGAGAGCAGGAGGGTAAAGTCACAGAGTATAAAGCAGGGGCTTAAGGTGACTAGGCCTGAAGAAACAAAATAGGATGGCTGCTTCTCATTTCCTCTTTCTTTTCTCTTTTCCTCATGCTGTCCTTCAGATTTCAAGATCAGATACGAGATAATGTTTTCTCTATATGCAAGCAAGTTATCTGGAGTGAGTGTTGCTCAAGTCACACCATTCAGATGAGGACATAAGACAAGTGAGACAAGACCTGAGGAAAGGAACAGGAATGGCAAAGACGACCTCAGTGTTGTTTCAGGGACAGTCCTGCCTGATGTGTAAGCAAACGTTTAGGCCTCGCTTTTCAGAAGGAAACCTAAGTTCAGATGTGAGTCTCTCTTTTTAGCAGAGGAAGTTAGCAAATTAATGAGCTCTTATGCCGGCCGAGTTTGTAAAGTTTAAGAAAAATCTCAATGTCATTGCAATTTTGCTGTGGCATCTTGACTACCCTCACAGCCTTCCAGCATGAGGATGGAGCTGAGTTACTGGCTCTTGTCATCAGGAAGGCTTTTTCTGCTTTAGGGTTGAACCTTGTATAGGTTACATCTTATCCAATGATTAGCGTGAAAATTAATGCATGAATTAAAATGTGTATTAGTTGGTGAAAACGTTCAAGTGTTTGTGGGTCTGTACATGTCTTTATTCTGCTCTTGCACTTGACTGACAGCCTGGCTGGATGTGTGCATCAATTAGGATGGGCTCCATGATGCTGAGGCAACAAATGAACCCCAAATCTCAGCAGCTCAAAATAATAAAGCTTTTTTTTTTAAATAGCAGCTTTACTGAGATGTAATTCACATACAATAAATTCAGCCTTTTAACTGTGCAGTTCAGGTTTTTAATACAGTCACAAGATTGTGTAATTATCACCACTATCTAATTCCAGAACATTCCATCACACCGAAAAGAAACTTCCTATCCATTAGCAGTCACTCCTCACTTCCCATAGTCCTTGGAAAGCATGAACCCAATTTTGTCTTTATAGATTTGCCAGTTCTGGACATTTCATATAGATGGAGTCAGACAATAGATAGCCTTTTGTGATTCTCTCCTTCTCCCCCTCCACCTCCTCCCCACCTTTTTTTTTCCTTTTTTTTTTGAATTTTTTTATAAGAGTATATTTGAGCCAAATTGACAACATAAGCCGGGGAGCAAGATCTCAAATCCTCCCGTGATTGCCATTTTTTGCTGAGCATAATGTTTTCAAGTTTCATCCACATTGTAACATGTATCAGCGTTTTATTCCTTTACATTAACACAAAGCCGTCCATGGTTGGTACCAAAATTCTTACTGGGGCATTTGGGGCCCTCGCAGGCTCTGGCCTACGTCTCTCTTTCTCCACTCTCTGAGTACTGCTTCCTAGCTACACTGCCCTCGCCTTTTTAAAAAATGTTATCAAGCTTCCTTCTGCCTTAGAGCCTTTGTCTTTGCTGTTCCTTCTCCTGGACAGCTTCTCTCCCAGCTTCTGACCATGTGTCCTCATTCTCTCTTGGTTCAATGTCACTTTCACAGAGACACCTTCCCCACCACCAAAGCCCTCAAGCCAAGGCTGAGTCACTGTTCTTGGCACCTTGCACTTGTCCTTATTGTGGGTGGCATGGTGGGGAGCAGAGTTGTGAGGGGTTGCACTTCTAGGTTCTGGAGCCACACTGCCTGGGTTCCAGTTCTGCCTTTGATAATGACTGTGTGACCTTGGGCAAGATCCTCAACCTCTCTGGAAATGGCTATGCTAGAACCTAGCATATAAAGTCATTGAGAAGGTTAAATGAGGGAAGTCATTTATGCCACTTAGAATTTCTTTGGCATTCTCTAAATACTAGCCCTTACTATCACAATTATAAATTAAACAATTTTTAAAATACAGATTAGAAAGAAGTATGCTTTGTCAGTGCTGTATTCTCAGCACCCAGCACAGTGCTTATCATAGAGGAGGAATTTAAGAAATATTTGTGGATGAATAAAGGCCAAGTGTATTCCTACGGGACATCAGAGGAAGGAGGGGCGTCACAGAGAAGAGGTGGCCAACTCCAACCCATTGGTAGTCCTGGATGGAGAAAATGATTCTGAAGCTGCATCTGGGTTCAGAGGAAGGGCGGACTGTATTTAATCAATCACATCTGCTGTGGCAGAGGAAAAGAAACACTACAAGATAAGCACGTAGATTTGACAGTCCTGTTACAGAGAAGGTACACTGTCATGTTGGAAACAGTCTAGCATTGGAAAGTGACATTTTGCCTCCTTTTTCTCCACTGCCTGCCCCAGCCTCTACTTTTCCTCTAGATACTCAAGACCCCCTATGGCATTGGGCTATTCACCCTATTTCCATCAGCATTACAAGTCAGTGGTCTCATTCCTGCCCTGATAGGGCAACCAAAATGAGCCAATCCCTTAATCACCCTAAAACAACTAGACTTGACCTCTGTTGGTGTTTTCCATCCCAGGGACATCTATACTTAAATCTAGCCTGGGAGTGGTGCAGTGTAGGGGTGGGTGATGAATGAAATGCCCCATTGGCCACCGGAGGAGTGAAGCTGAAGGGTAGGGGTGGGCGGGACATGCAGACCCCATGCCTGCAGCACCAGAAGGTGAGTCCAGTGCTCCCACAGCCACTGATTTTCCAAGAGAATCTAGAAATCTGGATTTTTACGTGTAATCTCCCAAGCAATTGAATACAAATTTTAAAAAGTAATGTGAAGGCCAAAGAAAATGATGTTGGGCTGTATTTGCCCTGCGTGCTATTTCTGCATGGGCCCTCACCGACCTCTTTGTCCCTCTGCGATTGTCTGGTGGCCTGGGCCTTCAGAATCCAGCCTCAGGTGACTTGCCCTCATGATTCAACCCTAATTCTCTCCTCGGAAATCTTTCTTCCAGAACACTCTGGTCCCTCATGGCAACTGCATATTTGAAAGCTGTTTGCCAGGTACTCTGCATGACCCCATTTCAACAGTACTTGGATAAGCTCTGGATGTTTCTTTTATTTATTTTTAATAGATTTTCTTTTTCTAGAGCAGTATCGGCTTCAGTCAAGTTCTATTTTGAAATTTATTTTTAGAGTGGTTGTTTCTCCAAGAGCCCATTCAGGTGGGCCTGGTCTTGCAGTGGTGGAGGGCTAAGGAACCACTTCCCTTTGCAGCGCGGCACTC